TTTAAAAGAAAAGTGTCAGCTGAAAGCAAAGAACCAGTACGGAAAGAGAAAACATCAGCCAATACAGTTTCATAGAAGTAATGACAGAAGATCTTGGGTTGGAAGGGACCTTAAAATCCATCCCGTTTCAACCCGTTGCTGCAGGCAGGGTTGCCACTCACAAGATCAGGCAAGATAGAAGTCAAGGGAGAAAATCATCTTCTAAATAACTGTGGCAACAAAGCAGTCTATCCAGAGCAGTGAAAGAATACTTTGTGGTTTTATGTTAAAACTAGTAGAAGTTAGCAATTAAAATACAAAGTAATTGTGAGAAATGCAGGCATGTGATTAATTCATCTCATTCCTGCTTTCAGAGGAAGTGATTCTTCGCATGACTTTAGGTAAAATTTATCAGCATGAAGAGGAACTGCTTCTAGATACATACTGCCTTTATTGCTATTAAAAAAAAAAAAAAGTGAAATTAAAGGCAAATTTGGTGATGTCAAGATTCCGCAAGAATGCCCAATTTCCCCTGCAAGAAACAAAACAACGGACAGTCCTTAGAAAGTTGCACTTAAGAAATCTTTAAATTAGCCATATTTGAATGGAACTAGATGAAATGGATAGCAGCCTATCAAATATTATATATTTTCTTGACAGATTCACTCTGCTTTAGTTAATCTCATTAAATAAAAACATCTGTTAGAAGTCAGAGCACAGTCAGGTCACTCCAAACAACAACATTCTAAGCACCACAAGTTGAGGGAACTGCAGGTTGAGTTCTAAGGAACTGGAGCTGCTAGAAGTACGAACTGCAGTATGCACATCATTGAAGGTTCAGGACTAATCAGAAAGAGACCAAGCTCTTTGTCAAAATGATCTAAATTTGTTAGCTGGAGCACAACTGGCCTTCACTTAGAAGTATCAGAATTCTGACTGACATTCCAGTCAAGTTGTTACAAAGACAAAAAAGCTTTATGCCTGAAGCACCCTTTAGATTGGACATATTAAGCATCACAGTATTCTCTCCCCACAATTGAAGGATTGTGTTCATTAACAAAAAGCAGTGAAATTTTGAGATAACACAGAGCCTTCATCATATGAAAGAAGAATCTTTACCTGCTGCAGATAGAAAGTTCTCATAGAATAAGATGAAACACTGATCTGTTTTACACACACGAGTCTGTTGCCTCGTTCCACATGCAGAATCCAGCACATGCCCTTGCTAAACTTCATGTGGTTGGTGATCGCCCAGCTCCCTCACTTGTCTTGATCTCTTTGCTTGGCCTCTCTACCTTTGAGGCAGTTTACAGCTCCTCCCAGTTTACTATTATCCAAACTTAACATACTTTCAAGTCCTATATCCAAGAAGAAAATGTTATAGAAAACCATCCCTAAAACGGGAGCCTTGTAGAACTCCACCAGCGAACGGCCACCAGCCTGATGTAACCCTACTTAACCACTGCCCTTTGAGCTGTATGCTGGACATTTTGTCAAGGATACTGTGAGAAACAGTATTGAAAGTTTCACTGGAATCCAAAAACATTACATCAATGACCTCCCATAGTCAACCAGCTGGGCAACCTGGTCAAAGTTTATTAAAGAGCACTTTCTTCCCTCTTGTTAACCTATGCTCACTCTGACCAATGACTGCATTGTCTTTCAGGTGTTTTTCCACTAACTCCCAGAATAATCTCCATAATTTTGCCAGGCACTGAAATGAAACTGACAGGCCTGTAATTATCAAGGTCCTATTTCTTGCCCTTTGTGAAAACTGGGACAATATTTGCCGGCTTCCAGTCAGCTGGGACTACTTCAGATTCCCCAGACCATTGAAAATAGATAGAGGTCTTGCAATGACATCAGACAGAAACTAGAGTGCCCTGGAATGAATCCCATTGGGCCCTATAGACTTATATGTCCAGCTGGAGTTGGATTATTAGTTATTGTTATTTATTATATTGTTATTTATTTGTTATACTCAAACTTCATACAGTTTTAAAGTACTTTGTAGGTTGCCCTTTTTTCAATGCCTTATGAATTCAGTTCAGATAGATCGTACTTCAGAAGAAAGCATAGTTCCTGATCACGAAGACACAATTTGGTGGCAAAAGCAAGGAGAGCTCAGCACTGAACATGCTCAATACCTTCTTTCTCTCCTTCATCAAACAGGCAACAACAGCAAAGGATAGCAAGCAGTTCTCAATTTTTAACTACAGACTGAGGTGTTCACAAAATGGATAGCTGTAGCAGCTATTTTGATGTGAATTATGGAGCACATGAAGAACACTGAAAGAAGAAATACTTAAGAAACAAGCAAAATATCCAAGTATCAAAAGACTTTCGTGGTGGGATGCAATATCCTTTAGATATCTTCTAAGCACATCTTCTGACAGTCTAAATTTAGTCTGGAGAAAGCTCTCACTGGAGGTTGTGGGTTTTGCATTAAGAACTGGTTTATTGTAAACGTAATCAAAACCACTAACCCTTTTCTGTAGAGGTTTTAATATAAAATCATTGCATTCTGGTGCAGCTTCTAAAGAATAAAAAGATAACAAGCAACACAATTAGTCTTTCAGTTCTTTTGACTCTATTCGTGATAGAGATGGTAAACTGTTACTACATAGCCTATGCAATTTTAACCATTACTTCAGATAGAAAGCTAAAATTAGGAAAACTTTCTGCATGTATTAACAGTGAATAGTTATCTTCAAAATTCATTGCCCCTTGAATGTGATGGAAATTGTAAAACAAACATCTCAGAAAACATAGTCCCAGGATGGCTTCTCACTACAGTAGCAAAAAAGGTGAATTGTGATCTTCTTTCAAAAGAAGGAAAGGAAGGGACAGGAAGGAAATTAAGCCATTAAGTAGGGAATTGTAACTGTCAGTACAAAGCAGCCCTCCTTTCACTTCAGGAAATACTGCTTAGATAGGTACTTGTAAGTCTCTTCAACATAATAATCATTTGTTTCGAAATCATGTTACATAAGTAGCAGGAGCTGTCACAACTTCACATCTCTCTTTGCATTTTCCTACTAAAAGTTAGCGTGGACTGCAGCATTGCTCTCTGCTTTCAGTTACACACAAATAAGTGGAGAGACCGCAGCTGTGAAACAAGAAAGACACTCTGCTTCCAGCTCTATAAGTGACTTTTTTATTTTTTCAGTTACTTTGCCTTCAAGAATTCTGCTACTGCTTTCTACAGGAAGTCTACCTCTAGCCAATAACCGAGGAGTTGTATTTCAGAAAAACCCCACCTATCCCGAAGGTAAACAAGTAGACTTCAAACCTGGACAGCAGAACAGAATCTAAAGTCCTTAAAACCAATACCACAACACAGATGCAAAGTCTGGCCCAGCCACAATCACAAGAACCCTGTTACACCACATACCTGCAGCTAACATTGACTGTTTTCTTATCTGACTACTGCTCGTTTCCAAAGCACTCCTGTAATCCATCACCTCGTTCTATAGACATTATGCACTGGCCTCACTGAGCAGAAATAGGGGAAAGAGATAAAGCTATAGTGGGATGAACTGCCTACCCAAAGAGAGCTTCTTCCCAAGCTTGTTTGCCACTAGCTTGCTTTGGTAAGCAACAACAACAACAACAACAACAACAAGTAATTCCCTGCCTTCTCAATCACTTAGTACAAAGGCAACACCTGCAGTCAACGTAAAGAAGATCAGCCCTGGAACACTGGAATTTTGTCTCCTTTTCTGACTCAGGAGATGCAGATTAAGTTACTTTGTCAGTCTTACCCTTATGAACAGAGACAATGTTTAGCTATTAGCTACTTCACGTAACTTAAGAGAGAAAAACAAACAAACAAACAAAAAAAACAGTAATCTTCGCAGAATCATTAAGGTTGAAAAAGACCTCTAAGATCAGCTAGCTCAACTATCAAGCCATGCTCATGTGCCATGTTCCTCAGTACCATGTCTATATGTTTCATGGTAACTATAGCAAAGTTACTGACCCTCAGAAACAATTCTGAAATTACTGGAATATGATGGTCAAATATTCAGAATCCATGCTATAAAATGAACTAGGATTTTGCAAAATGAAAGAACAGCACCAGAAAGTGAAGTTTTACAAAGTATATGTAATTCTTAGGTTTTCTTTTTCAAACAGTTGGTTTGCTGTAGCTTCTTACAATAGCATATATGATGCTGAAAGTCTCTACTAATTACCCTTGACCATGAAAAGTTACATGCAATGACAAGTATATAGCTGAGGCAGTTGTACTACACTGTGAAATATATTTGACTTACTGGCAAAATCAAAGCGGAGACATTTGGATGGATCCCAGTAATGGCAAGGTATGTGGAGATTTCCCACCTGCTCATTTTCAAGTGGTGATGAATACTTCTTGCACCAGAAGAGATAAAAGTTTCCCCTGGAGGAATTCATGTGCCATTCCCTGGGCACTTGCTGACAGAAAACACCTCCATGGAGGAAGCCTTGCTAAGTCACTTGTATCTGCTTGGGTAAGTTTAACAGATTTTCCATTAGGACCCATTGAGTCATGTGACAACTTCAATTCACATCAAGGCACTTTTCCTGGATTTTCTGAATATTGTGACTTCAGCACCACACTGTATATATAACCAGAGGAACAGTGTGCTCTTTCAGAACCCAGCTTTAAGGTGCAGACATCTTTCATGGGATGAGCTAACCATCTATCAATACATCTAGCATTCTTCTAATTTTTGCAATTTTCAGCCGTCAGTTTAGCTTTAGGATCCAAACCATAGTCTGAGCTCTAACACTGGAAACACAGTACAGGTTTAAAGGTGTAATAGCTTGGGCTGCTTCTTCGCCTTTGCTCTTTTCCCAGAGCCCACAGAATTTGAAAGAGAAGCAGACACTGCAGGCTGGGGCTCCTCAAGCTGAAACCGATCTGTTTCTTCTCCAATCAAGATGTTCACGACTTCACAAGAGCAAGGGCCAGGTGAACGACTGCTCTGACTCCCCAGGCTCATATCACAGCATCTGACATCAACAGTGGCAACGAGACAGACGTTTTTGCAAGGTTTTCTTTATTTTCTTGGTCAACTTCATCTCTTGAGCTGTATGACACACTCCCATCTTGGTCCACGCTAGGACTGACTGACACTTGACACAGAATCATAGAGCCGTTTGAGTTGGAAGGGATCCTCGCAGGTCATTCAGTCCAACTCCCCCACAGTGAGCAGGGACACCTACAGTACATCAGGTTGCTCAGAGCCGCATCCAGCCTGACCTTGAGCGTGGAGTCAGGCGTGCTGTGATCTTGCTTGCGACGCTGGAACGAGCAGCGCTCGCACCGGGCCAGCAACGTGCGTTCGGAGCCCTCAGACACAGCGGGGTAGCGCCCGGAGGTTTGATTTCCTCGGCTTCGCACAGCACGTTCGCAATTAAATTCATTCATCTTCAGGCGGTGCCGGTGGGCAAACCGGCAGAAGAACGACGAGAGTCCTCTCCGGGCCGTCTCGCTCACGGCCAACGGACCCGCAGCACTGCGGCCATCCCCCGCTCCGCCGCCCACAGCCGCCCGCGCGCCGCGATGCTGAGGGCGGTGCCGGCACAGCCCGCCCCGCACGCAGGGTTCGCTTCCGGCGGCCGCCACCCCGCCATCCCCAACCCCTCCCGGCGGCCTGGCTGCGCGTGCGCCGCGGCCCCGCGTCTCCCCAGCGGCAGCGAAGGAGTTTGGAAGTTCAAAATGGCCGCCGCGGCGGAGCCCGAGCAGCGAGCGCCCGAGTAAGGAACGGGCGGGCCGGGCGGGAAGGTGGGGCGGCCGCTCGGCACGGCGCTCCGGGGTGGGGGGGGGGAGGCGGCGAGCGGCCCCGGCGCGGGGAAGGGCGGCGGGTGGCGGGGCGGCCGGGCCGGAGGCGGCGGGGGGAAGGAGGAGGGAAAGGGCGGCGGGCGGCCGCTCGGCGGAGAAGGGTGCGAACGCGGTTGCCGGGAGCCGCTCGCGGCCCGGCCCGCTGCGGGGAGGAGGTTGAGGCCGCTCGGCGGACGGCCTTCGGGGCGGGGGAGGGGAAGCGGCGCCGGGAGCGGCGCGTGCGTTCCGGCCGCGTGCGCCTCCCGCCCCGCCGGGCCCGGCCCGCTTCGGCGCTCAGCCCGACTCCCCGAGCCGCGGGCTCTCGCGGCGCCCGGAGTGCCGGCGCCGCTGGAAGCGAGAAGCGATTTGTCGCCGGCGGCCCCTCCTTCCGGCCCGCCGCGTGAGTGGCGGCTGGCGGCGGTGGGGGCTGCGCGCTGCTTTCCGCGGGCTTCCGACGCCCGGAGCTGCCTCGCCGCTCCTCGGCGTCGCCCGGGTTGCTCGGCCTCGTGAGACGCTGCCTGTGCTCTCCTCTCCCGTACGAAAGTGTCGTCCGAGGGGGATTTTTACCCGTTAGGCACGGGAGTGGAAAGCCGCTTTTCCTCTGTGTGTGTGAACCGCGTAGAGCACGTGAGCACGCCGATAAATGTGTCCAGTGCTCTGCGGGGAACCGTAACTAAGGAAGATAAAGTAACGACTGCGATAGAAAGCCCGAAGGTAGGGAAGAAATGGGTGAAATCTCTGCGAATCTTCATAGGCTTCCCATAGTTCTTTTCCTTGAATCCCAAATAAAGGGAAAGTGAGGCTGTGACACAGATGTCACAACTCCTGTGGAAGCATGCAGATACCTCATGGCCTCATCACCTTCTGAAATCTTCTTAAAGGGTTTCTCTTCCATGTAACTCTGAAGCAGTTAAACGAATTAAAAGTTTGCCTGTGTTTTGATGGCGTTACATGAAATAAATCAGTGCCTGCACGTGGAGTAGCTCTGAACTGTTTCCCTGGGCAGCCTCATCTGGTGAACGGCGGCCCTGCCCACAGCAGGGGGCTGGCTGGGCTTTAAGTTCCCTTCCAGCCCAAACCGTTCTGTGATTTAATGCTGGCAGAACAAGGCTTCTCTGGAGCAGTTTGAATGGACCTGCAATATTCTTACAATGTACTGAAAAAACATGAATGTGTCAACAGGGGACCCTCACAGCTCCCTGTAGCCAGCTGAGAAGTCCTGAAAGATGCACGGTCACCTTAATGTGCTCCTTGCCACGTTTCTCTGCCCTCTTGCTAACTCATTGCTCGGGAACGCAGATCCAAATTGAGAAAGTTTTAAATCTGCTACTTTTTTTTTGTGTGTGTGTGCATCTTTTGTGCCAAACGTACCATTAAATAAACTCCTCTGGAGGCAGTTTGTCTTGTTTTGCATATTCTGTTTTGTGGTGATGTTGGGTGCCAGAAGGGGGCAGTTAAGAAAAAAGCCCTTCTTCCTATGTGCTCTGGTTGAGTAAGCAGCAGAGTGGTAGAGATGTAAAAGAAGAAACGTGCAGCATTAACGCTTCTGTTAGAAGCTTGCATATTTTTAGCTCAAATAGGCTGCTCCCTTGGAAAGGGAATGAGGATATTTTGGAGCAATGAAGTGTCAACAGTCTCAGAAAATTATTTCAGAGTACACTGACAATAAGTCTAGACTGCTTTCTAGTATATGAATTTGCATTAACTCACATAGGAGATAATCATTAACCGTGCTGTTTGAAGATCCTGTCCTTAATGAGGAGGATGTAGGTTGAATTTGTAGCGAGGTGCCATCCTTTAGTTGGCTAAGAATAATTCTGATATGGTTATGCTAATGGATCATTGGTCATATCCTTCAGAGACCTCTGTAGGATGAATCTAGCAGGGTTCTGAGGGCATTTCTGTGTGTATCTCACCACCGCTGTGACCATCACACCCCAAAAGCTTCCCTTTAGTGAACAAGGCTGGGGATAGAGCAGTATTTAAAATACCAGAGTGTTAGCGAGTTCCAAAACTAGTGCAGGTGGGGTGAGTTTGCAGAAAGGCGATGCTGGCACCTAGGAGGTGATTTGGCAGCAGATTTTAAAAGGCAAATATCCATCTTGCTGTAGCTGGTAATTGATGTTCTGAAGGTATTTGCTGAGAGCAGTTTATGTCTATTGATAAGCCAATTTCAGCTTCTAGGGAAAACAATAAAAGTGAATTGTGAAGTGTGCGGACTGACTTATGTAATTTTTGAAGTTCTTGTCTAATTAAAGTGCTTGTTGCTGTGACTAGCTAATTGAAATTAGATTTTTCTTTTTTTTTTCTTTAAAGAGACCACCGTTATTATTTTAATAGCCTGTTCTATACTTATTTTCTGTTTGTTTTTTGTTTTTGTCCAATGCCATTTTACAGGTCTAAAGAGAACTTTTTTTTTTTTTTCCCCTCAGGAAGCTAATAGGCTTCTGTATTCTATTGGAAAGCTTTTGTGAAATTAGGTGTTCTTAATTGATCCTGTTTTTTGATACTGTTCCCTGTATCGCATATATAAATGCAGGATAAGAACAGTTCTGTGTTGTCAACAAGTGTATGCACATACCGATAGGAATGATAATTAAGAGAATCAGCGTGCTGTGCTTGAGACTCTGCGGGATGGTTTCCTTAGGGGGTCAGAATCATCCCTTGAAATAAGTTTTGATCTTTGGAAGACAACTGCACTCTGTCTTTTGAAAGTACTTTTAGAGGACATAGCTTGGGTTTGGCGTAGGAATGGAGCAGTGAATAAGACAGATACTGGACTAACAGGGGGTATAAATGCACAGCACTGTTGTTTACTATTACCAAATATTGGCAGTGTTGATCCAATAACATTGATTTCACCTATGTGGTTTGTTTTGTTAGTGTATTTGCTCCATCCTCCTAAGCTAGTATTTCTTTTTGCAGTCATAGCTGTCTGTTTGTGACAAACTATGCCTGCTCTTACAACTTCATTACATTGCTCGTACATTTTTAATTCTCCAAAAGCAGATAATTAAATATCAGTTAGCTTCTGTCATAAAAGAGGCTATCAAACTAGCTTGAGTTTGAGGGCTGTTGTGAATTGCTGGTACTGATGGGTAGTTTTTCTTTTTTTGCAGGGCTGAGGATGCTAACGCATCTGAGAAAAGTACAAATGAAGAAAATGGGGAAGTGTCAGAAGCAGATCAACCTCAGAACAAGCACAGCCGACACAAAAAAAAGAAACACAAACACCGAAGTAAACACAAGAAACATAAACATTCATCAGAAGAAGATAAGGACAAAAAACATAAACACAGACACAAACATAAGAAACATAAACGGAAAGAGGTAGCTGATGCCTCTGACAAGGAAGATGGACCAGCTAAAAGAACTAAAATTGATTTTTTAGCTCCTCTGGAAGACTTGGAGAAACAAAGAGCTTTATTGAAAGCTGAACTTGAAAATGAATTAATGGAAGGCAAAGTCCAGTCTGGTATGGGATTAATATTACAAGGTTATGAGTCGGGATCTGAAGAAGAGGGGGAAATTAACGAAAAGGCGCGAAATGGAACTAGACCTGCTACTAAGTCAAACACTAAGGGGAAATTAGAACCTGTGGAAAATAAAGCTAGTTCCAAAAAAGGAAATAAGAGTGAATCAAAAGAAAGGACTAGGCACAGATCTGACAAAAAGAAAAGCAAGGTAGCAGTTGATGGAATCAAAGAGAAAACAACTAGAAGCAAGTCAAAAGAAAGGAGAAAATCCAAAAGCCCCTGTAAAAGAAGTAAGTCTCAAGATCAGACAAGGAAATCAAGATCTCCAATGCTTAAAAGAAGATCTCAGGAGAAAAACAGGAAGTCTAAATCTCCCCCAGAAGACAGAAACAAGGCTGACGATAAGAGTAAATCAAGGGATCGCAGGAAGTCTCCAGTTGTAAATGAAAGCAAAAGTCGAGATCGCGGCAGAAAATCCAAATCTCCAGCAGAACTCAGAAGCAAATCCAAAGATAGACGATCGCGGTCCAAAGATAGAAAATCTAGGCGATCAGAGACTGACAAAGATAAAAAGCCAATTAAATCTCCTTCTAAAGACGCTTCTTCAGGGAAAGAAAACAGGTCCCCCAGAAGACCTGGCCGAAGCCCAAAAGGAAGAAGCTTGTCTCCTAAGCCACGTGAAAAGTCAAGAAGAAGCAGATCCCCTCTCTTTAATGATCGTAGATCTAAACAGAGCAAATCCCCCTCTCGAACCCGATCTCCAGCTAGAAGGTTGAGGAGTAGATCTGCAGAAAGGAAAAGAAGAGAATCAGAAAGGAGGCGTCTTTCATCTCCCAGGTAACTTAAAAATGTCATGAACCATTGAAAAATGTGCTATGGGATAAATGGTCTTCTAGTTTGGTGTTTCTCTTTCATTCTGAAAAGAGCAGGTTGTGTATCGTGTTATGAGTTTCCATTACATGCAGTCATCTTTCAAAAATACTAACCCCAGCTGTCAGACACACAAAGCCAGCTTTGCTGTTTGTTGCTCTCGCCAGTACTGGGAACAAGTTTTGTAGCTCATGTTCTGCTTTTTGTTGCTGTGTTGAATTCAGATTTCAGCTTCTGTTTTAGTTCTTAAGTTAATAGTAATGTTGTTTTCAGGAATTCCTGTGAAGGGAGAACTTTCTTCCCCTTCCTCTTAAATGTCAGTGTTGGCATCTCCCCGCACACCTACTGAAAAATGACAGCATGTGTGAATGGTGTAAATTAGACTTTAAGATATGCTTCTTAGTCATTTTTTTTCTTAGAAATGTTTTGTCTCTTTAATTTGCTGAAGTTATGGTAGTGTTACTGCTCTGTTTTGATAGTGGGCCCAAATTTGTATATTATTACCATATTTTGCATATGCATAAACGAGGGAGGAAGGATTTAATCTTTTTAACGTACTTTTGTCATTTGTTTTAAAAGGCAATTTAGGCTCTGAAAGCAGTTACTTTGAGATTTTAATATAAACCATCAGACAGTAGCATCTTTCAATCTGGTAAGGCCTGGATAGCAAGCTCTTTAGCAGAGAACAATAGAATTGTATACACTTTTGGAAGTTAATCCATTAAACTATAGGTGTCCAAACTGTAGGCTTCCCTGGGCCTCACTGAGCAAGAAGGAATTGTCTCAGGCTGCATATAAAATATATAGTATATTTAATGTATATAAGTAAAGACTTTTAAAATATTTTTTATTAAAACAAAGCAAGAAAAAAGTAGAACTAGTGGGATATTTGACCCTGTTTTTGTGATACCAATGCACCAGACTGGTTCAGTGGCAGTGGTTGCAATTCCTAGTGAGCTCTCAAGGTGTTCTCCAGAGATTTTTATTGAAGTTTTGCTCCTCCTGTACTTCATCCTTGAAAACAGTAGTTCACAAATGTACATACTGCCAAAAGCGATGCCAGGAATAAGGCATGATTGTGAAGTGAGGGATATTTCTCCTCGGTAATGGAGGGCTTTTTAAAGAAAAAGTTGTTGAGATGACAGATTTTTTTCAGTTCCACTAGTTTATCTGTAAAGCATTCCTTGATACGCATTGAATGTGGCTGCATGTTTTTGCATATAGTGTCTTTTTAAATTGTCAACTTTGGAAACTGACACGATTTCCTTACAAATGAAGCACAGTGCTATTTTCCAAGGTGCTTAAGCACATGGAACATGTAATACCCGCAGGTCTCACTTCCACTGAGTGTGTGAGATGAGCAGGAGAGCTGGAGTCAGCACTTCCCCTGGTTCCACCCAGGCAGTTCCGATCAGGCACGGCTGTGTGGTTGTTGTGGCAGTGGGTGAGTGCCCAGGGCCGGACAGAACTGCTCAGAGAGACAAAGCCACCGCCATGATTGTGTGGGGAAGGGGGGGCTGCAGTGCGAGCTGTGTCAGGCCGCAGGGTTGGACGTGGCTGCATTAAACAAAACAATTCAGCAGGCAGGAGTTCAGCATCTTGATGATGGATAATTTTAAACGCGGGGTATCTTCCACAGGCACAATTACCAGCTTGCTTTGTCTATATACTATTGACAAGCAACACTGCAGGCACTTTGGAAAATGGCCCCTGTGGTGTTAACCAGATGAAGCAAGTATTGTAAATGGTACCAGTTTATCCAACCAGTTCCTGGTGAATGAGCACTCCATTACGTTTCCTGGACATAGTACTTGTCTGTCTTAGTTTCAGTTTTCATTTCTAGTGAAATTGCATTTCAGTGCAGGCTGTGCGTTGCAGCCAGTTTGAATTAGTTGTCTAAACACTACTGCAAGAGATGCACACGTCTAGAATTTTGCTGTCAAGTTCACAGAAGAGTAACTTTAGTAATACCTTTTTTTTTTTTTTTTGCTACACTTTTGTGTGGGGGACTGCTGAGAAATATTTTCTACTGAAAGTGAACAGTCTTTCTTTGTGGGACATCTTGAACCAGTGTTCCCATGTTCGAGTTTTAACTGCCTGTAACTACCCAGGCTGCCAGGTAACTGCAGGAGCTCCAGTGAGCAGTTTCGACCACAGATTCCCAGGAATCTGATTTTTCATATTTGCTTCCAGTGTTCCACTCGTGTAGTTCTCTGACTGAAGTATGTTACTGTACAGCGTTATTTATGAGTTTCTAACCATCTTCTACTTCCTATGTGATCCCTGAACTGATTGGGATTCTTTTTGCAGCTATTTTGATTGGCTTTTGGCAGCACAACCACGTTGTAAACTGGAAGGCTTGTCAGTTCATCCCGTGTGGCTTTTTTTTTTTGTAACGCTGTTCACAGGAACGTAACATCAATTAAAAGCGAAAAGGGGATCTGCTCCATCATTCTTGCAGAAATTAGCACTGCTTCTGGGCGTGTTTTGTTTTTCTTTCTGTTTACTATTATCCATCAATTCTGCATGTGTGTTCATTATATGCAGCTAGGGTAACTGAAGCTGTTAACAGCAGTCACTAAGAAAAACAAAAACATCATTTCAGAATGGTACAGTTGATCTTTCAGACCTGAGAGACTGTTCATTGATGAGATACTGACCTGAAATAACTTGTCCTGATTCAATTTAAAAGAAGTAAAAACAAAAGAAATGGAGTAGCAACATCTTATTTGAACAACAATGGAAATATTTTCCAAGAATTTCTACTATAGCCTCACCAGAGGTTTTGGATTGAAGTCATGCTGCCTTGGGATACCATTAAGCTTTTTAGTGTGGTTGGTTCATGAAGGATTTTTTTTTCTTAAATAACTGTTCATCTGTATAGATAAGAATGAACATAGCGTGTATATACATATATATATATGATATATATATGTGTGTGTGTATAGTTATTTTAATTTGAGAAGTGTTAATTGAGAATTGCTTTTAGCTGCAGTACTACACTATGTGGAATGCAGAAGCTGTTCACTTCTAGTAGCCAGATTGGAAAACACATGGAAGTTGTCATGGAATAGTTTGTCCTAAATTTAAACTCCATGTTGTAGAGTTGCTGAGAAAAATTCAAGAATTTGGTTTTAAGTTTTATTTATTGAATACTGCTTCTGATAAACATGAAAACAGGCTGCTATTTATGTAATACATAAATGTGAGCTCTGTTTTAGAAATTTCTTAGCTTTATCATAGTAATTAACTAGCTCTTCTTCCAGAGTTGTTCTGAGCTAGACCTGTGTGTGGGCACATGTTTCTCAGGTTGGGGAGACAAGTACATGGATGGCAGCCAGCTCTGCAGCACACACAGCCATTTCTGCACTCAGAAATCCATCTGATGGATCCTCACCTGCGGGAAGATATTTAAAAGTGAGATTTTAAAAGGAATTGGAGGATTTGTTTTCAGCTCACTCCTTATTTTACTGTGTTTCTTTCTTCTTCATTTTAAGAACAAGAACCAGAGATGATATTTTGTCTAGACGTGAAAGATCAAAAGATATCAGCCCACCCAGCAGATGGTCTCCATCCCGAAGAAGGTCTCGCTCACCCATTAGGAGGAGGTCTCGGTCACCCCTTCGACGCAGCCGGTCTCCGCGAAGGAGGAGTAGGTCCCCTCGGAGGAGGTAAAGACACCACGTGGGTTGGTTTGTTTGTTTGTTGTGACAAGAGTCACAAGGTATCTTATGTGTAAAAAGATAGTGCATTTTTCAGTCCCTACTTACCTATAAGTTGGCATAGTTGAATTAATTTTGTCCTCCATAAATTCATTTGTTGTTTTACTTGGAGTTGCTGTGTATCTGTATTTTACGAATAGATTTTCCTCTTTTTCTTTTAAAAATAAGAAAATAAAAAGCAAAACAAACAAAAAAATCCGTCTTACTGTTACCAGGGATAGAGGCCGAAGAAGTAGATCTCGCCTTCGAAGGAGGTCTAGGTCACGTGGTGGCCACAGACGTAGGAGTAGGAGCAAAGTTAAAGAAGACAAATTTAAAGGTAGTCTTTCTGAGGGCATGAAAGCTGAACAGGAGTCTTCATCTGATGAAAAGTAAGTCTTAAGATCTAATTTACTGTCTTAAAATGCAGATCCAGTAATGTGGGGCACCAACCAAAACTTCATGCTGTAGTTTTTGGGTTGTCATCTAAAACCTTAATCATGTTATATGACTTTTAATCTTGTCAAATTGCTATTGGGATGATCGAGATCTGTTGTTTGGTGGGGCAGACCTTGAGGAGCTCATGTGTGGTTTGGATTCTAATTTTGACTTGATGAATTGTCTTTTGAAAATAATTTGGTCTGGTGTGTATCTTAGTGTATTGCTTGAAAAACAGAAAGGATTAACTGTTACTAGCAAATTGTTCTGTATATTTGCTAAATACCTAATCTGACCGCATGAGATAATGCATTCATTCATAACAGTCAAGTCTGCAGTTGGGAATGAAATGCTTGCTCTCAAAGAGCTATCAGTGGATACATTTTCTCAGTAAGGAAACATGAATATACACACTGGGTTTTAATACATTTTGCTTTCTGAGTCAGGTTAACAATTTTTGTTCGATATTCTATTGCGTGCTTTCTGCACCAAAAACCAGCATTTAGTAGGATTCAGTACATAATCTTATGTTTATGATGCTATATAAAAAGTAATTATGTTGTTATAGCCTTGAAGATTTTGATTTGGAAGAAGAGGATGAAGAAGCAGAAATAAGACAGCGAAGGTTACAGAGGCAAGCCATCGTTCAGGTAATGGCTGTATTATCACATGGGTTACGGAAATAAATTTGATTATTTTAGTGTAAAGTGATAAAGGAGAAGGGTATTAGCCTATTACAATAGTATTCACTATTACTATTTTTTTCCAATTAAATTATTCTAAAGATTAGTCTTGGTCACAGCTGACATTTCTACTGCAGCAGCATTACTTACAAGACTGAAGTAACTCTCCCACGAGTCATTTTTGTGTCACAATCAAATGTTCTCTAATGGTCCTATGATGTGACATGTTAAAAATATTCTAATTTATTCTCATCTATAGGTTTTCCTCAGGGCTGTGTTGTTGATATTATAATATCAGTTTAAGACTGTTAGATATCAATTAATCAAAGTGGTTAGTTTGTTTCAAAGAGCACTTGTTCCTTTTCAAAACTTAGTAAAGCTACTGAATTGGTTTCTCCTTCATGAAAGTTGATTCAGTCAGACATACGCATTTGCTGCCATTAAGGTTTTGCTTCTGGTAAGAAGGTGGCAGTAGTGATGAGTAATGTGTAATTGAGTCCAGTGAAAGAGAGTCCAGGCCAAGGGGATGTAATTGTAAAGCACAAGTGGACTCTTCCTTTAAAGGTGGGATTTGGCACATAGAACACAGCAGGCAAAATTCTGTGGCATATTTGCTTAATACTTAATTATAAAAACACTGGTTATAATGTAGTGCTTAATTTAAGCAGCACTAAAAATAATGGTCATCTTTTGATTTTTATATAAATTTAATTATAAAATCCTTCAGAACAATGACTGAATTATTTCTTAAGAACTTTATTTTACTCATTGTTTGCCAAAATGTTGTCATAATGAATCTGTCAGTACTAACATTATGGCAGGCACAAGGAAGGAAATAGAGAAATACAGAGGTGCCTGAAATGTCACACACCCTTTCAGTTTTATTGAGTTGTAGTACAATGAATTTTCATAACCTATATCCAGTTGCATCCAGTCCTTGGGCCCCCAACAAAGCAGGACACAGAGCTGCTGGAGCAGGTTCAGAGGAGGGCCATGAAGATGATCAGAGGGCTGGAGCACCTCCCCTACAAGGACAGGCTGAGGGAGCTGGGGCTCTTCAGCCTGGAGAAGAGAAGGCTTCAAGGAGACCTCATTGCAGCCTTCCAGCACCTGAAAGGGCCTACAGAAAAACTGGGGACGGACTGATTATAAAGGCATATAGTGACAGGATAAAGAGAAACTTTAAACTGGAAGAGGGTAGATTTAAACTAGATATTAGGAAGAAATTCTTTACTGTCAGGTTGCCCAGTGAGGTTATGGATGTCCTGTCCCTGGAAGCATTCAAGGCCAGGCTTTGAGCAACCTGGTCTAGACAGAGGTGTCCCTGCCTATAGCAGGGGGTTGCAACTAGGTGATCTTAAAGGTCCCTTCCAACCCAAACCCAATCAATTCTGTGATTCTATGATACCAGTTCTACATATTTGTAGAATTTGCCATTAGAGATGTAGGTAATTATGAAAGCAAAGATTTAATGTTCAGCACAAGCCATTAGGAATGAAAATAAAAATAATGTGTGTAAGCTAATATAAAATAAAAATACAGTGATAAAGTGTAATGCTGAGATTAATAATTGTGTTTCTGTTTAGAAATACAAGGGCCAGACAGAAGACAGTAATATATCTGTTCCATCTGAACCAAGCAGTCCTCAGAGTAGTACGCGCAGTCGCTCAAATTCACCGGATGACATCCTGGAAAGGGTAGCTGCTGATGTGAAAGAGTATGAACGGGAAAACGTGGACACCTTTGAGGCATCGGTAAAAGCCAAGCACAACCTCATGACAGTGGAACAGAACAATGGTAAGAATATGAAAGCTCACTTATAATGCAGTGTATTAAACCAGTGCAAAAGAGATGTATTCCTTTCCTTCTTTATATACCTCTAGACTTGGGAGCATGTTGACTTTTTGGACAGAGTTTGCATTATTTCCTTCAATATTAGGATATTTCAAACATGATAATAAAATAATAAACCTTGTTTGTTAAGGAGGTTGACATGAACAACGTGTTTTCCATATTTCTAGTAATTCTTAATACAGTTCATTCTATAAATATGAAAGAGCAGATAGTGATGTTCGACTTGATAATTAAGAATCACCTCTTTTTAAATGAAAATTTTGCACTTATGCATATTTTTTTCTTACAATTTAATTTATTTTTCTTCATTTTGGAGTAGGTTGCAAACCATGACTTCATTCATTCACTCATTTATTGGTAAGAGCAAACAGAGCAACTGTTTGAATAACACACGTGTATCTGAAGTTGTTTAGAATGATGGGGCTTTTGAGAGTCATTGCTAACATGCCCATGTGTAACTTGTTGCAGAAGGATAGCTATTTTTCTCCTCTTTCTGCCTGGCTTGGTCCTGCTGTGGCAAAAGGAACACAGATCATAGACCTTTTTGTTTGTTTGGAATTTTTTTTTAATCCTCTTTTGAGGCTGGTACACCCTAAGTCTTCCAGCCAGCCAAAGGTGTGTCTCTAGTTACCATGCAGACATACTTGAACTGGCTGTTTAAACTGATCAGCCCCTCAGGAGATGGTTGGACAGCTTGTATTTCCTATCACCTACTAGCTATATCCTTGGCTACATTCTGGTGGATCCTTCCTTGAAATAGTAAAGCTGCTCTAGGACTGGTACAGAGCAGTTTGTCCTGGTGTTCCCTTGTGCAGATTGCATTTTGAGATTATTTTCTTGTGATGAAGGTGAAAAGAACACCCTTGTGTACCTTTTCTCTGTTAGCATAGCACAAGGTGAAAGAGTCCTTTTTATATGAAACGCTCACTAATATATTTTTTGCTTTCTAATTTTTTCCACTAAAAGATAATGGAAATAAAACTGTTAACTACATGGGCTTTTTAATGACATTAGAGAGGATTTTGAAACAAACAAAAGAAAAAATCGGTTGCACAAATGCACTGCAGGAACTTTGATATGTTGGTAGGTGTCTGGATTGGAGGTGGCTATAACAACAGAAGGAAACAGATCATCTGTTTATTTTGTCAGAGCAATATATAACTTGACCTTCTATAAAGGCACAATAGTAAGTCACTAAAGCAGTAGTTAGTAGCTCACTGTAGCCCAGTTAAAGTGTGAGTAATTGAAATTAAAAGGAAAAATCAAGGCAGTTGCTAGAAGAGTCTGTACCTTGAAACAACAGTGTCAGTATCATAGATAACAGTTTTTGATGCTTTCAGAAGATTGATATTTTGTGTGAAAATGGTTACCTCAGGAAACTGGAGAATTTTAAGGTTAACCGTTTATTTTTTTCCTTTGCTTAATACCTTATCAGTACCTGTGTCTGACCATGGTCATGAAGGAATGCTACTACCATACTGTGTGTTATGAAATAGTTTGAAGTTTGTTTGCATTCACCAATGTATACTCAATTTATATTTCTTTGCTTTTATCTTGTCAACCAGATAAAATGTCTTTGGGACTTTAAAGATAATTAAAAGGTGACAGAGGGATAATCATCTCAACATTAAGATTGTTTGTCTTTTAAACATAATTAGCTTCATCTTTCACTGTAAGCTACATGAGATCCTTTTTGATGGAGCTGAAGAAAATGTTTTCCAAAGAGACAGTTTCTGGGCTGTACAACTTTGTTTTTTAGTAAAATACTTAGTGATTATCAGAAAACCCCACACTTGTATATTGAAATCATGTCTGCATCTTTTAATATGTATAAACGTATATTTTTGTGCAGTCACTTGTAAGGATTGTATAAAGTACCAACCTTTTATTCCTGGTATGTGGATTGTTTGAAAGCTGCTATACTTAATTTTTCAAGGAGGTACTTTTTTTTTTTTTTTTTTAAGAGCTTAACCATCTCATTTTTGTATTTGTATAATGTAAATTAGCTCTAACTTTCCTTGCAAATCTTTAGTTTGCCACCATGTAGATTCTGAGATTGTGTTGTACCAATATGAAGTCACAGACTCTGCTAACTGTTGTCTGCTTGCCATCTTCCTCACCTTGAATAATATGAATTTCCTTTCAAGGTTCAGCTCAGAAGAAACTGCTGGCTCCTGATATGTTCACAGAATCAGATGATATGTTTGCTGCATACTTTGATGTAGGTAATTCTTGGAGATGAAATGTATGATTCTTTTTTTGCTTATTTTCTTATTGAAGGCTTGCTCTCACTTGAGGTTTGTGGGAACATTGATTTGTAAAAGCAAAGTAACTGAGTTGATAATTTTAATATTTTGATCAGTTGAAGCAGACAAAGTAGCTTTTAATATTTCAGTGAAAGAAAACCTGCAATGAGTAGATTTTTGGCCAGAGTAAACGAAGAATTAGGTACTTCACCTGCTGTTCAAATGAGAGCTGTCATGGCACACAGTAACAAACTTTATATTAACTGTTTATGTTAAAGTTGCTGTGTTGCACTGTTCTTTCTTCAGAGATGTGTACTTTCTTCAGAGGTTTGTGTAAGGTTAACTTAAAAGTCTGTGTAATTTTAATTTGCTCATGATGTGTTGTGATGATGTGGAGGCTTTTTGGATGAAGAGACACATTTCCCACTTCTTGCACCGTTTCAGCAGCTTTTTTCAAAATGTGCTGAAGCAGCTTACTAATCTTGGCAGTCCCTTAAGTACTTGTTGCTACTGATACAAAGTCACTGAGAAAGTCAAGGCAACGAGTTCCTTCTTAAGATGAAAATTCTCCACTTAATCATGCTTTGTGGCAGATGAAATCTATTAGTTTTCACAGAAGATTGTTGACAGAAGGTGTCACTGTAGTAAAGCCAAACATACGTGCACACACCAAAGGAAAAAGATAAATAGTTCCGGAGTAGTGGTGGTTTAGGTGCTTTTAAAAACTTCAGGATAACAAGTAGGGATTTAAACGGCTTGTAAGTAATCACTTTCTGCTCTACAAAAACTGATGTTCAAAGATATTTTTTACTACCCATGAATTTGAATTTGAGGTAATACTGTCAACTCAGTTAAGCAGTGTCAGCATTGACTGTAATACTTCTATGACTCTAAGTGTAACAGTATGGATTTTGTGAGGTGACACTGAATGAACAGAAAGCAATTCGAGGCTTAAGCAGTTTACCCCCCAAATTGCTAAACTTTTATTACTTCAAATATACTGTAAGTAGTAAGTCTTAATATGGTCCAAACTGCGTATTCTAATTTGACTTGTAGAAATTCATTGCAGATAATAGTTGAAACAGGTCTCATTTGTCATATTTAATATTTCTGACCCTATCCTATTCCCTTGCAACAGTCTTCAAATGTTGGTATTTAAGTAGCATTCTGTGTTCAGTAGTATTTTTCTCCTACAAGATAAATGTGTTTGCAGTTTGGAGAAGACCACTGTTTCAGTAGGGAAAAAAGTGCCTAGTAATGTGGACTTCTGATTTTTATAAGCAAACATTAAAGAAAACATACAGCTAGAGCACACAAGCAAAGCTGTTCCATTTGTTCTTTTTGTTTCAGAGTGCTCGTCTAAGGGCTGCTGGATTTGGAAAAGACTTCAAAGAAAACCCCAATCTCAGGGATAACTGGACTGATGCAGAAGGCTATTATCGTAAGTTTCATTTATTGGTTTGCAACTGTAGCAAGGAGGATGCTAAATGGAAAAGAACTGGAAGAAGTAAAAGTACTGAAACGCTATAATGTGAATATTCTGCTGTGAGTGCCACTCTGAATATGGCGTGTCCAAAGCAGTTTTCTGTTCTTGCACACTTGTGCAGCATCAAGTTGCTCCTAGATATAAAATTCTGGTTGGGGTAAAACTAAAACCTGGCCATAGTTACAGCCGTGAGATCATTTTCACAAAGGAAGGGAGGAATGAAGGAATGCTTGCCAGGATCTGAAACCAAGAAATCTAGCATCCAAGAGAATATAGTGGCCCTCATGGTAGCTGTTATCTAGGATTCAGAATGGAGATAGTGAGTGAGTGAGCATGTTTTACTTACTGGTCAGTGTTAAAAGCTCATTTGCAGGTGTAAGGGCCTAAATAAATATACCTTTAATGGACAAAATGAGCATGCAGGTTTTAACCTCAAGAAGGGAAGAATTTCACACTTAAAATTGTTGATGTTCCCCATAATTTCCACAAAGATTGGTGCTAGTATGCTATGAAATTACGTGATTATACTGTTGATATGATTTAGAACCATTTATTTTTCATAGAACGTTTCATTGTGCATATGACGCATAACTCTTACTTGAATTGCTTGATTTTTATTCTTCAGGTGTTAATATAGGTGAAGTTCTAGATAAACGTTACAATGTCTATGGTTACACTGGTCAGGGAGTCTTCAGTAATGTAGTACGAGCCAGGGATATGGCAAGAGCAAACCAAGAAGTAGCGGTTAAAATCATCAGGAACAATGAACTTATGTAAGTAATGTTTTTGCTTAATAATACTAATAATAAAGCATGTGTGATTTCTGGAAGTTTTTCATGATGTGATTTGAATCTTCCTTTGTTTCAAGTGAAGTAACAGATTACAGCTGTGGTTCCTGCCTTTTCTGCTAATATGAGCCATATAATTGGAAGGCGCTTGAGGACAATGTATCCGCACTCACAGGAGAAGGGTACTTGCATTTTCATCAGGCACTTTCTCATTTGCAAAACTGCAGGGAACAGTGGTGGCAAGAAATAAGCTTAACATTGATTACGTTGTCTGCCCAGCCCTAAGATTTTTGAGATGGGAATCGAGGACTGTAAAATTCTGGCTTGATGAACCAAATCCATTTGGGAAGCTGCGGGTTGGATACTAGTCAGTCATCTCTAACTTAGACAAAGATATTTAAGTTAATTATTTTTGCATATTCTCCATATGTGCATGTGTAGAAGGTATGAGAAAGTGATGATACTCTGCCTGTTGGAAAGAAAATCACTGGAGGTCTTCCAGACTGAATGACCCTTAATAGGGTGATGTTGTATTAAACTGTGTTGTGTTATCTGAGGACTCAGAATCTCTAATACTCATTTTCAGCATCTACAGCCACGTGTTATGTAGTTATCCAGATAATTATATGGAAATCTCCATGCATTTTACACTGGAAGTCTTAAAAGTTGTTTTGGTTTGTGTGTAACTGAGTTATTTTGAGCTATATGAATAATACCTAGAAATATGTAGGGGAAAAAAAAAAAAGGTAGTAAGATAGTTTAATTTGGTGTGTTAAGATGATTTGGTTTGGGTGTGTACTTGATTGTAGTCAGTTTAGTTTAAAATTTTTAAAATGATATAAGTGGTTATATAACTTCAAAACAAACAGGAGGGAGAAGAATAAGTAGGTTACAAAATCACAGGTGATCAAAGACACATAATCAACAATGAATCACTACTGCAGCTTTTTCAAGCAGTGCTACATTTATGTAGTACTATTAAAACTGACAACTAAAACAGCAGAAGTATATCTCAAGGTGTGAACAAGGCACTGGAATCTCACTTGTTTTGTTTTCTAATTGTATTTCTTTGTTTACAGGCAAAAAACTGGTCTAAAAGAACTGGAATTTTTGAAGAAGCTCAATGATGCAGATCCTGATGACAAGTTTCACTGTCTAAGATTGTTCAGGCATTTCTACCACAAACAACATCTCTGTCTGGTATTCGAACCGCTGAGGTAAGACGACAAGTGTATGGTGTCCTTTGTGAAAAGTAAAGTACAACTAAGTCATCTTTATCTTTCTGTTCTTGACTATTGTTTTAAGTTTGGTACTTTGTTCCATTGCCAGGATTCAAGAATTTAAGGAATTCCAAGGAAAAAAAATCTGGAGGCACAAATCCAAAATCTGCTGAACTAGTTCAGATTTTTCATAGTCAATTGTGTTGTAAACTCCATGCCCGGTCAATATTTGAAACAAAGTAATTTATTCATAATAATTAATTAATTAATGTAATCACATTAAATTATTCATAAATTACTCATCTCACTAGTGCTCATCTTAATGATTTTTTTTTGGTGAAAATATTTTTCCTAGATTTACAGAATTCTTTACCTTGTGGGTGTGGATTAAGAACGCGTAACCAGAGAGGTTGAGCAAATACTGTATATTGTGTGACAAATAGATACATAGCAACAACCTAGAGAAGAAGATGTAAACTTGCCTTTAAATAATAAGGATTCTTTGGCAGGCTAATTGTAGACACTGCTTTATCATGGATCTGGACACTTTGGTTGCCTTAATTCCTATTCCTGCTTAGATGTTATTTGTATCAATTGCTTGTATCCTAAGTTTTCACTGTATATTTTAATTTTTTGCCATAGATGTTTGAATTGAAGATAAATCACTTGCTGAAACAGTGCAAGTTTTATGAAGTGCCTAATATATTGTCAGTAATAAGCCTTAATTATTGTCAGTAATAAGACAAATAACTTTTTTGTGCTGTCTCTTCATAAAGCATTTGTGCATTGTTTATATCCAGTAATGATTTTCTTGTGGATTCATCTCCATCCGCTGTTCATGTCATTGAAACATTGCCTCATCAACTTCCATCTTTTGCATATTTTCTTTTTAATCGCTTCTCAAGAAACTGAGCACAAAGGCTGGACAGCTGCTAAGAAAATGCTGTTAATGTGTAAATCAATTCTTTCCAATTAATTCAGATTAAAAATGTGTTCTGAAGTGTTATGTCCAGCCTAGTAAGTAATTACATGGTATAGCGTAGATCTGATCAACCAGCATTTTTGTTTCATCGTTGTACAAATAGTGAGGTATGTATCTTAAGCTGAATGTCACTTTTCCTCCAGAATTTCTGAAGTTAACTAACTTATTCATGTTTTTCTTACAGTTTAGAAGGCAAGTATATTTCCCCTTACAGAGCTCTTTTGTTTTCTCTCTTTCTTACAACAGTATGAATTTACGAGAGGTATTGAAAAAGTATGGGAAAGATGTTGGTCTCCATATTAAAGCTGTGCGTTCCTACAGCCAGCAGTTGTTCCTGGCTTTAAAACTTCTTAAAAGATGCAATATCCTACATGCAGATATTAAACCAGATAATATTTTGGTAAGTAATAACTAATAGAAAAATATTTTGCATGGACATTCTATAACGTAAAATCAAGTATGTGAAATTAAGTCAAAGTTCACTTTACCTCCAAATGTTAAAAAATTAATGTTTTGGGGGAAAAAAAAGCTATAATGATATAAATAAATAAATATAATACAGAATTTAAATAAAATATTTCATTTACTATAACCTTTCTGAAACAAACCTGCATTCACTTGTACCATTTTACAAAGTATGTCTTCCAAGGACAGTATTCTTTATCAGGAGAAGTCTTAGGACTTTTTTCACCAGTAGCTGAAAAATGTACTTGTTTCTACAGAATGAAAAAATGAAAATAGTTTGGTTAAGCCTGAAAGGAGATTTTGTTCATTTGAATAAGATGACTGAAGAAGTCCTTACTGTCCTTTTCTTTTTTTCTCCATGAAACATTCTGCTTAGCGGAGTGTGAGAGTTACGCTGAAGGAATCAAATGATTTGACGTTGGTTTTTTGATGGTCACCTATGGACAAAATTTGAGATTTGAAAATGATCATTTTGTGGCTCTGGGCAGCCTGGTCTGCTGGTTGGCGACCGTGCACATAGCAGGGGGGTTGAAACTAGATGATCACTGTGGTCCTTTTCTACCCAGGCCATTCTACAATTTCTTGCCATTGCTGTTGTAAAATTTACTAGCTAAGCATGAGATATGTGAATAATATTCTGGTTTATGAGCGGCACTCTGGATACTAAAGGTGGAAGTCTAAACTGATAAAATTTGGTTATCTAGAATGAAATCCAGGTCCAGCAATGATACTTTTCCATACTTCCAAGAGACTGTGAACACTGCATATTACTGGTGGCCTTCAGTTCTCCTACTGTAGTAAATTCCAGATGGCTTTTTTTTTTTTTTCAGTTCACCAACAGAAATAAACTAACAGATTTAATAAGTAATATGTAGTGGTAGCATTTACCACGTAGATTCTGGAAAGTGATGATGAGGCAGGAAGGAATATGAGTGGATTTGTTTTCACAGTGGGAAGTCTTTAGCATAGCCATGATTTACTGAAAATAGTAGTACATACTGCATACATGTTGGTCTGGATATTTTACGTTTAAAAATTATGTTTCTTACTACTACATGTTCAATGTATACAGAGTTCCCTTCACCTCTTAGAAATTTCTGCATTCTGTTCTAAAGTGCAGCATACTTTCACTTTCTTGCAATTATTTATATTAAGATGTACTAAAGTTTCTTTCTTATGGCTTAAAAATTAGAAATCTGACAGAGAGATTTATATTTCCTTCTCAAAACTAAATTTGACACCAGGCAGACTTGCATTCATGTTGGTAATAAAGCTGTTGGTTCCCGTTAAATAACTATCCGGTTTATGAAGCTGAGTGCAGTAGTTCTGTTCTTAGGGCTGCCCTTCACCTGACATGTTTGGTCTCAGATCACAGCACAGAAGGGACTCACTTGTTTCTTATTGATGTTTGATATGTCTTTGGTCACATTCTGGACTGATCTTGAGCTGGGTATTCTCTATTCTCTCTTAAGAAGTTTCTAACTTGACTTATGTAGGGGTATAGGTAGTGTTTAGTGTCTGCTTGAGGGATTACTTTTCCAGCTAACTCTGGTACCAAGTCACATGAGGCAAAGCAAAGCTGACGCCATATTGCCTTGGAAGAGTCATATGGACACTGTGTCAAATTATGTACTGTATTTACTACCCATTTAGAAAGTACTTTGTATGTGTGTGGGATCATTTTTTTGTGTTATTTTCTAAATAGATGCTAATGTATATTAATGCATATGTAATCCGTTCTGTGCCTTTCAATTAGTGTCTTGCCACAAATCTCCAAAGCAACGGGAGATGTCACTGTTAGTGTCTGTGCAGACAAAGAAAGCTAATTCAAAAGCTAATTCTGGGCATGTTTTCTGTTTAGCTTTTAATACTTCTACTGATGGAAGCTGCTAAGTTATGCTGAGAGTTTATTTTTTTTTCCCCTTCTTCTAAAATATACACTGTTGATGCAGCAATAAAGAATTAATACTGAAAAAAAAAACCTAGTAAAATCTGTAGGAGAATAAGTACGTGAAACTGACTTCTTTGTATTTCATAGGATGTGTAGGTATTAACTGTCAGTTTCAGTTTAAGGTTCGACAATTTTCTTAGAATACAGAGAAGGCAGACTGAAATATGGAAAGAAAACTAACTTATAGGCTGAATGTTTTTCTTATCTCTGATTTAAATGTATTGTTGGTCTTACAATGCTATTGCCAATTCTTTGTACAAATAGTGCTAATATTCACTTATGTTTAACTTTCAGGTGAATGAATCTAAAACGATATTAAAGCTTTGTGATTTTGGATCAGCTTCACATGTTGCAGATAATGACATCACACCGTATCTAGTTAGTAGATTTTATCGAGCTCCTGAAATCAGTAAGTACATTTGGATTGAGTACAGTTAAGCAGGCTGTATCAGTATAGTAAATGAAAATTTTGATTTGAGATTACTCTTTGTTTGGTCTCAGCAAACCAAAACTCTGAAAATGTGATGGCAGTCAAAAAATTTAGCCAATTGAAAGCATGTTTTATGATTCTTTACGCATGCTGGTGGTCAGCTCATTGCAAACATGAAGAAGTCATTCTGATTGGTTATAGCTTTGTTTTAATGTAGAGGTACTGTTCTGACTTAAGCTGTGGTGATTAGTTTGGGTGTTAGGTAAAAACCTCCCTTTCTGTAACTGTAAAAGTGAAAAGTCTTTCAGTTGTCATACCTTCTTATTCCTAAGAAGAGGAGTAGCGATACAGTTTCTAAATCAGACTTTTTTTATTTGTCTGGTTTTGTGGTATTATCGTCAAAGCTGCCTTTATGGAATTAACTTGAATTGCTCTGTTTCAGTTATAGGAAAAATCTATGACTATGGTATAGATATGTGGTCTGTAGGCTGCACGTTATATGAACTTTATACAGGAAAAATACTCTTTCCTGGCAAAACCAATAACCATATGTTGAAACTAGCCATGGATCTCAAAGGAAAGATGCCAAACAAGGTAAGAAAAATAAGTGTATGATTTTTTACTTAATATCTGAAACTGCTGTTATGAACAGTAAAACATACTTTTGCTTTCTCTCTGAAATTCTTTCTTATCACACACATCTCTTAACAGCAAGTATATATCAGATATTCTCTGAATGTATAATTTATATTAATTTAAAATTATATGAAGTGAAAGTATACAGCTTCTTTTTTGTAGACTAAGTGTAAAGTGAAAGCAGAAACCTTCTAAAGCACTGACCTGAAAAAAAAGAAGTGTAAGTCAGAGGAAGGTATTATGTCCTTCTTCAACTGGTTTGAATGTTATTTTTTTCTTCAGCATAGTTATTTGATATGTAATTCAGAAATAGTAAGTTATTCATGTTTTACCAGTTAGTAGATGTTGATGCTAATTGTGTAATTCATTAACATAGAGAGCTTAGCTAAAATTCTTGTCTTTCCCTGATTTTCCAGATGATTCGAAAAGGTGTGTTCAAAGATCAGCACTTTGATCAAAATCTCAACTTTATGTATATAGAAGTAGATAAAGTGACAGAAAGGGTAAGTCCTTAATATGTCCATTGTTACTGGTCTTTCAAACATACCTTAACATTTTAATTACAAACTAACCTTCGTAAACTATCAGAATGTCCTTTTGCAGAGGCCTATGCAAGTTACATGGTTATGGACTGGATGGTGGGGTAGATCACACCTTGTGCACAATGACACAGAAGTGGTGGGGGTGACTAATTCACCAGGGGGCCACACAGCCATTCAGAGGGATCTCAGCAGGTTGGAGACGTGGGCTGGCCTGAATCTCATGATGTTCAGCAAGGGCAGTACGAAGTCCTGAACTAGGGAAGGAGCAGCTCTGGGCACCAGTACACCGAACCAGAAAGCAGCTCTGCAGGAAGGGGTCTGGGGTCTTAGTGGGCACCAAGTTGTATATAAGCCAGCAGTGTGCCCTTGTCACTAAGAAGGTTAGCGTTATTCTTGGCTGCATTAGGCAAAGTTTTGCCAGCAAGTCAAGAAGGATCGCCTCATCTTTCTGTTCTCAGAATTGGTGAGGCTACATCTGAAGTAGTGTCCAGTTCTGGGCTCCTCTGTACAAGAGGAACTTGTACATATTAGAAAGAGCTCTGCGTAGGGCCCAGATGATCAGAGGACTAAAGTATCTCTCCTGTGGGGAAAGGCTGAGAGAATAACAACTATTAAGCCTGGAACACAGGATGACAGGGGCGAGGAATCTTATTAATACATATAAATACCTGAATAGAGGGTGCAGTGAAAATGAAGCGAATCTCTTCAGTGGTGCCCAATACCAGGAAAAAAGGCAGTTGGCATGGGCATCAGATACAATTAGTTGCTGGCAAAAGATGCAGTCCGGCATGCCCCAGTGGCTTTATATCCCCTCTTTTCCTTTGCCTGCCATGAGTATTTATGAGGCCATGTGATGAAGAAGAGCATTGCAGATGAGAGATAAGAAAACCCTGCAAAAAAATTGCTGCTTAAGCGGTGTAAGAATTACGGCGGTTTTGTGTATTTCCACTGTTGTACAAGGTTGCCATTTTTGTGTTTGTAGGAGAAAGTTACTGTAATGAGCACCATTAATCCAACTAAGGACCTCTTAGCAGACTTGATTGGGTGCCAGCGACTCCCAGAAGACCAGCGTAAAAAAGTACACCAGCTGAAGGACTTGTTGGACCAGATTCTAATGTTAGATCCAGCTAAACGGATTAGCATCAACCAGGCTCTGCAGCACGCCTTCATCCAGGAAAAAATTTAAACCAGATGAAGAAGTTCAAAGGGTTTGAGTAATTAAGATACAAAGACTGAAGAAAATTTCACAGCAGTTATTAATGTATATAAACATAAATATTTGCCCTGCAAAGTTGAGGAAGAAAAGATACATTTGAATTAACGTCAAGGCTGATATTTCTTTTAGAAATGTTAGAGTAATTCTGTTTTGTGTCTTATGTGAAAATTTTCACTGTAGAACTGTTTTAATTGCCAAGACTGCACAGAAGTACAATGCTAATGTATATGGTTGCAGTTCGTATATATTATAAAAAAGAAAAAAGCATCTGTTTAAAAAAAAAAAAAAAAAAAAGAGCAGTAATACTGGGTGGTTGATTTGTTTTTAGCAGACTTGGCTTCATTTTTGTCTTTAAAAAATGGCCAGCATAAATGCTGTTTATATTCACATTTTCCTAGGTGTGTGTGTGCAGGCCACAGCAGCATGCCCTTGGTGTAGTCAGTGCCGAAGGGGGTCTGTTCCTTCTTGAGCCTGCCCGCAGGGATGGTCTCCTCTTTTAAAGCAGGTTGTGTACAACTTTCAGTACACTGAAGGTAAGCTAACCCATCAACATCACCGGTGTTTAAGCTGTTATTTTACTGGAACAACTGACAAATGAGAGACAGTAGCATTATGGCAGAATTCCCTGCATGTTTGATAAATGATCTTGTTTTTATTTTCTGGCATTGCAACTGTGGCATAGTTACAACTTCTGTTCTGTTCATCACATTTACAATTTTGAGAGTGCGCACTTGATGGATAGAGCGCCTTCAGTGTACTGTTTCTTATTACTTTAATTTTTTTAATCAACTTGCTATAGACTTTGTATACATTTTGTTAAATACAGTTCACTATGACATAGAGCCAATACTTACGGAAGAGTTTTCATTTAGTAATTACATATGTTGGGATCTCATTTGAAAGAACTTATATCTAAAGGATAGATAGACAACATAATGAAACTTTTTAACTATTTGTATGTCATTTTGAAAGTGTACTGCTTTATGCTTAAAGTGTTTCATTTGTTTTCATTGTTTTCATTATTTGTGATCATGTTGTCTTTCAATACAGGCATAAACCTTCCACTCTTGAACAAAGCAGCTGCTTTTTAAAAGCGGTAATTGCTTCTTTACCTTTTATTTCTTTTGTAAATGAAGCTTTTCTTTAAAAAAAAACAAAAACAATGTGACTTTAAAGTGTTGTCTCCTTGCATAAAACAGTTGACACTTACTTATTGTAAAGTGAAGATTGTTCTGCTGCATGTAAAGTGGACCATGCAGATTTCTGTATGTTTTCAGTATGCATCATTAGATAATAAAGTCTTTTGTGAACAAGGCATTTGTAGCCATTTTTAAAAGAATCTGTCTTCAGTGATGGTAAATCAGGTAATTTGTAAAGAACCACCCCTGCCTTTTCTATTAATCATTTAATTAAAAGGATTGTTAAAAGCTATGATCTTTGGAAGAGCTATAGGCTATATTAATTAGATATATAATTATCACTGCTTAAACGAAAAGAAAGCAAAAAACCCTACAGATACTGTCTGCTTTCATTGTAATGAAATTATTCCTGTAGGACGTGAGATTAAATTCAGGCTTTAACTAATGTTTGTGCTGTTTTTCTCACTTTTCCTTTTGATGGTGCTGAAAGAGAAAAAGGAAAGCGAGTCACAGGCCACTCAACGCCTACTCCATGGGGTCTGATTTGCTGAGACACCAACTTCACCTTCCTAACAAGGTTATTTCTGACAGCATGTGTAGATAAACATTTAGCAACAAGTTAAAAACAGCTTGAAACATTTGAGTTGGTTATACAACATGAGGAAAACAGAATCAGACTTTTCAGATCCTTACTGCTGTTCTAAACTACTCTTTATTAAGAGGTTCCTCTTTACATTTTTGATCAATATATTCTGAAAACCTGTGATAAACCCACAACAGTCATGCACTCACGAAGTGCACGCAGGAATGGAAAAATGAGGCAGTCATTGTGCTGGTGGGGAATACCCCACCAAGGAGATGTAATGACCTAAGTACAAAAACAGGCAGGAGATGGGTCGTTTTGTAAGCTATCTGGAACCTTCCACCTGTCTCTCCTCAGTTGTAAAACTTTATAAAAAATAATCCGTCCTTATTTCCACATGTTAAGGTATCTTCTTTGTAGCAGAAGTAAATTCAGCTTTCACATTTAATGAAGCAGTAGTTGTCTGCTTGTTAACTGCACTTTCACAACATAGGCAGAGCTTCTGAGGGCAGTTTTACACAGGAATTAGAAGCTTATTCTTGCTGTTGCTTTGTACTTTATTCTTAAAATAGGAATATGAAACAAATGAGTTGGTGATACAGAAACAAAGCAGTAGGAAAAATGCACCTTAATACCTACAGAACTGTTTTAAGCTGTTCTGGAGAAGCGTAAAGTTGCTCGTTCACTTGTTCTTTGTGTTGTAGGTGCAGCTCAAAAGAAGATGATGACTACCAGAAGACATGAACAAAGGTTTCTGTCCTATAAAAGATATGAAAAATACTCTTCATACATTTCTGTCTTAATCTTTTGGTTTCCAGCGTCCCAATTTAGAATTAACACTGCTACAGTATTGATAATTCCTGAGACATACTAAACTGTATTACACTTTTTTTACGCTGATATGCTTGTTTCGTTTCTGGTTTAAGATTTTTTTCTTACTGTGATTAAATGCAGGCAGATAGGCATTACTGTTTAATGCAGTTTTCATAGAATGATCAGTACAAGACCTGTCATTTAGAAAAGTCTGCCATTGTATTTGGTTAAAATAAACTCTTTTAACTAGTAAAAATTTAAGCAGATGATGTGCTTTTTTTCTTTAACTTCAGTAGGTTTATTCATTCTGCTAAACTTGTCTGTTGCTGCAGAGAGTAGCTGACAGGCATTATTCGAAACAAGTGGGTTTCAGTCCACCATCCACTTTCAGCTTCAGCTTTTGTATTGGCAGCAACTGAAAATCTTTAATTCTGACTTCAAAAGTCTCTAGTATTGAAAACCTCATGACCACAGTTAAGAAACGTTTCCAGTTTTAGGCAACACCTGTTCCTGTGGCCTCTGAGGATAGCAGAGAAGCTGCTGCTGGCCACAGCAGTCACTTGAATTCCAGTGGTTGCAGCTTGGTACAAACATAGCAGTTACACAACAGGGTTTTCTTGCTGAACTACTCTTCAGCTGACCTAAGAGGATAATTTATCTTTTTCTCCTATACACTAAGATATAATTTTCATCTTCACCTGAAGTCCTACATAAAGTCTGGTTAAGTCTGCTGGCTTCTGCTTGCTTCTCCTTCGTGGTTACAAGGAACTCCACACATTTAATATGTTTTTTCAGAATGCTTGGCAAACTAAACAAGATATCAGCCCTTTGTATTCATTTAACTCAAACTCCTTAGGAGATTAAATGCTCTTTTTCCTTCTTTTTGCACTGAAACAAATGAAATATGCAGTTAGATTGTCTTTTTATTACTATGATGTATACTGCTTTAATTAAAAAAAAATAGGAACTGTTCAAAAGCCTTTGATTGAATATAATGATTCCTGTAGAATATTTTTAACAATACTTTATCTCCATACATAGGGTAAGTGGCAATAAACCTCTGAAGAACCTTTATATGTATATTGACCTGTACACAGAAGGCAGACCAGTCTGTGAGACTACTGGAGATAAAGCAATCTTCTACAGCATGTGTCAGATTGTAACTGTGCAGAATGTTGGGAAGTGGCTGTTGCTTGAAGTTAATAAAGTATGCTTAAACTTACTTGCATCTCGTCTTCTGTTGTTCATAAATACACTTTTGCAAAGCTTCTGAACACATGAAGAATTTTGAAAGATACCATTTCATTTCTGCATGGTGCTGTCTGCTTCAGGTATCAGATGTATTAAAGAGTTGGGGGATGCTGTGGCATAGCCATTAATTTTTTTGAAGAATAGAAGGTACTGTTGATATCTCTGAGATAATGAGCTGCCTGGTTGGTGACATGGCTGGCCCCTCTAAAAGGAGGCTGTCACCTGGGCTTTACATCACTGGTTACAGAAGGCAGGGAATTTCTTTCATAAACTTTTTGTGTGCAAGCCTGAAAAAGCATAAATGAAGGAGGACACAGAGATACCTTTTTAGGCAGCTTACTGTTGATGGGCAACCTGCAGAACATTTACCTCTTGAGTGTTCCAGTGGTCTTTTTATTGAAAAATCCCAGATCTATAAAAAAATCATCTTGGATAGGTGTGTAAAATGAAGCTGTTGGCTTTTGAGAAGTTGCCTGCCTGCTGGTTTTGAACAAATTGTGTATTTCGGTTTGACCATGTCTGTGTTTTTTCATCCTAAACCGAGCCTGCATTAGTTAAAGGACAAAAGAAAAACATTGTACTACACTGAAGGGAAGACATACCTATCTATAGATGCATTTGGATGAGAAAAAAGTTGAGGGTACTCAAATGGAGAAAGCAGTGCTTAGTGAATAGAGATGGAGTGTATATTTTGATGCTCGTTACATGGGTATAGAACAGATACTACCAAGTCTCTCTCCTAGACTTTCACATCTGTATTTTGTTCATCCAAATATTTAACTAAATTTTAGTTTGAACTTGTGATAAATAATTTTAAATGAAAGACTTGGTGTTTCCTTTTTATGACAGTCCTTCAATTCTTCATCATTTCAACCATTTCTTTATAAACACTGATTTTTTTATTATTGCAGTCCATTCTTTCTATAAATTAATGATTCATGAATCAGTGAAAAATATGAAAAATATTCAACAAAGCTACACAGACTGTTCAGTTTAAATTGAAACAAAAGGTAAAGCTTATGGGCAGGTAAAAATAAATTCTGGAAAACAGCAAAAAATATTTAACACATCAGGCTAAGCAGCTTCTCAATACTCATTCCTATCACTGCCTTTCACGGCTTCTCTGGAAAAAGTCTGTAATATCATCTGACTTTATTTTTTCCTGTATTATTTTTTAAATTACAGTCCTCATCAGCTGTGATCACAGGCAAAATGGTTCTGTCTCAATCCAATTTCTTAAATCATCATTTCTCAGCAGTTTTCTGGGCTTCTGAAAGAGAATACATGAAGATATTCCAAGTGGTTTGCTGATGATTCTGCTGGCATAGCAGGGTGCCTTGTAAATTCCAGATTTTGAGGCAATTTCTGCCAGAAATACGCAAGAAATCCAGGTGGAGGTGGACACAGCCACAGACTGCTTTATAACTGTTCGTGGTTCACTCTTACAAGTGTTACTTTTCAAGTGAGAGCCAGTGCACCTTTTTTTTATTATTATTCTTTAGCATTCTTCACCCCACGTATCTGCTACTAACCCATTGTTTTGCTAGTACAAGATGTGGCTACACAGCACAGGCATCCCTTGACACTTTTATGTTGGAAAGGCTTGGAGATGTGGTTCCTCACAGTGGAGTTCAGCATTCTTTGACAACACATGTCTCTGACACTAAATCCAACTATTAACTCCTAAGCTTCTGGAATTCATTGTCAGTCAAAGGACCTAATTTCAGACCTGGTGATGCATATAAAACACGATCTAAATTCTGCTTGCAAGTTGCACTTTGAAGCCAGACTTCCAGTCAAAATACCCATAGAGTTGTGCAATTATCACAAATAATACTGCAGTGCAGCCTTGCTAGGTGCCATTATGTTAGTGTGTCAGTGAGTGGAAAGGGAGATTTATTACTATTTGTCCAAAAGGCCACCAAGTAGAGACCAGTACTTTTACAGAGGATGCACTGAAAGTAATGCCTCCTACATATTTTCATGGAAACTACAACAGATACAAAGAATGCAAAAGCATTACTTGATAGAGCAAATTCTCAGCTACATAACACCAGTTTTCAACAGTCACCACGATTAGCTATGCATTTTTGCCAGCAATAAACAAAAGCCTGCATGCTGTGCTCATAAAAATTTGCACCAGTGGAGGCAATCGGTGTTCCTGTCACCGCTGCTGAAACGCACCATCCACTGCCTCACTGTGCCCACATCCACTGGTTGGTCTCCACAAACACTCTGCAAACATCAATAAATGTCAGTGGGTGCCATTTTTTTCCACAAGGAGGAATTCAGTGATACACCTTTGTTTTATACAGGCTTCCAGACCAGACACCATTCTGTCAGGCTGTCCCTCTGCTGCCACCTGTCACACTGCAACAAAATGTAACAGAATACTGGTGGGAAGGTCCAACCTCTACTGCCATACCACCAACATCCACCTCTGATGTTGTGGGCCTACATCATCAGAAGGTGTTTCTTATGGAGCATCCCTCACAGATTACTTTCACAAAGCAGGTGAATTTGACAAGCACCCTTGATCTTGTTCTCGTGTATTACCCACAATTTCTTCAAAACAGCCTTGAAGAGCCTCCTTCAGAGGGAAACAGTATTCCAACAAAAGGCAAAATTGCAATACAACTGTGTTCAACTTCTGAAAAAAGGCAAAACCTACATAAATTGTGGAAGAAACTAAGAGAGAGTACCTAAGTGAGGGCTGCTAAGGAATGTCTTATCCCAAGAACAGGGCTGATGATAGTCACTACCAATTGCAATTAGCAAAGAAAGGCAGCACAGCTTTGAAGACAAGCCTGGAGATGGTAGAGGAGCTGGTGAATACCAGAGTCTCTTAACCCTGCTGTCCTGCCACCAGCTGCATGTGCAAGCTGCCCAGGAGTCTTAGAAGGCCACTTTATCTCAAAGGGTTCCTGTTAAGAGCAAGGAAAAGCTGGGAGAGACTGGAGCCCAAGCAGCTGCCACACAAGCCTTCCCTGCAGCCACTCGGGGCAAACTGATCCGCTTCAGAATTTCCAGTAACATCAAAAGCATTCATCTTCTATATTGTTACAGGAAATGGCTCTTTACATAGACTATTAGTTAAGCTGTATTTTTGGCACGTTCTATATGTCTTTGAAAGCCTATTTAGACCTGCAGCTGCAATTGGGCTGCCTTTTTGGATAAGATTTATCATAAAATCCAACGCATTATCAAGCAGAAGGATAGATTTGTAAGAGTGAGCATGTAGGTAAATTTCTGCACTGACAGAAAGAATGGCAACCACTTTGCCATCAGTTGTCTCAGGAGAAATGTTAACAGTCCTTTTAATCTTTTTTTTTTTTTTTTTTTTTTTTTACATTTTTCATATCCAGTTTTCTATGGTACCACAGCCTTTCTCAACTTTGCTACCTGCAACACTCCCTGGCTCAGGACCTGCAGGAACTCCAGCAGATCCCATGGTTTGGTGCAGAAACCTGCAGTACAGGAGCGTGGGCTTCGCCTTGTGCCATTTCCAATGCTCACAATGGGTGTAGCTCACATCGACCTCTGGTGGGACTCGAGTCCTTGAGTAAATCCTTGCCATTTACCTATGGCTGTAGATATACAGCACCTTTGAGAGGCTACCACTCAATCTCCACGACACTGGGCACTGTGAGGATGAATGTATTCAGTTATCCGAGGTCTGATGGAAAGAGGACCAAGGCAAATATTGGTCCGATTTTTGGGTAGAAGAGACAAGTGTTGGACTGATGATCATTACAGATCCCATCCAACATGGGATATTCTATGATTCTTTGCTTCTAAAGCTTGTTCTCCAACAAAAAAGATGAACTTCCCCCAATATATATAAAAGATTTACTATATCTGAATACACCTCAAGTTCAGGTATTCTACAAATCTATTTCCTATATTAAAAAAAGTTCATCCTAAAACATGATCTAGATGAGATAATCTGTAGAGAACACCCCTATATTTGGATTGCGCTCTTTCCACAGGAAAGTTCTCATCTAAAGCCAAGCTCACCTTCATACCACGTTCACTACTGTACCTACTGGTGACACAATTTCAAACACATTTTTACAAAGCTTATTCTGGATTTACTGTCCAGGTCAGGTAGAGCCATCATTCCATTCATACTCTTGAATGAAGACTTTTCATCAGGGCTGAACAAGAGGACTGCCTGTGGTCACTCTTTCTTAGCTTGACCTTGTACACTCAGGAAATTGCAATTCAGTCACTCTTTATGGGAGATTTTACGTTAATTTTGCAACACTCATAATGTCTACCCATTTTCCTTCCATAGAAGGCCTAAATTAAACAAAACTTTTTTTCCAAGAACTAGCAGTGTAAATTTAGGTATAGAGTTCCCAGTGTTTATAGAACATCCAAGCACCATGACAGAACAGGGAAGAGATAATTTCATGACCTGACCCAAACTGGCTTACTAGCTCATTAATGCTAATATACAAATCCATTTCTATTCACAAGAAATTCATATATTTTTGTTCATAAAGGCTATGCTTACAATGGAATCTCAAATAATGCCTAGATCAAGCTTTTTTTTTCCTTAAAAATCTCTTACCATGTGGTATATTATGCAGTAATCACATACGCACAAAAGCAATTGAAGACATGGATACTTGGAGGAACAGCTGAATTTCAGAAAATAGGGAGGTTCGTGTGTTTGGGAAGGCTGTGTACACAGATAAATTAATGCAGTTTAAACGAATACTTAGTTAATACAACCCTTTAATAGACAAAAAGGTGAATTCAAATATGTAATTCTCCCATCAAAGTTTAAAGAAGTGTTTTGGGAACTGTCATCATTGTACTCCAAAATCCAGGAGTCCTCAGGAACATGTTCTAGTCCTCAATTCCAAGAGGCAGATATAAATCTGTTTACTTAACCATGTACATATTCATTCACAAGGCCATCTATTACTTAGTCTAAGTGAAGAGCCAGAGCTACCAGTAAGC